CAACATCTCATAACTTTCAGGAGGGCTTCAGAACGAGCCCCCGGTCTCCGATAAGTCTGAAAATTGAGAAACCATATCGGGCCGGGCCAGGCTGGGGCGCCACCCCCTCGGGCCAGGGCCGGGCTCGGGCCCAGATAATAGGCCCGTGCAGGGCTCTATCCCAGACGTCTTCCCCAGGTTTCCAAGATGTCTTGCCCAGGTCTCCAAGATGTCTTCCCCAGGTCTCCAAGAGGTCTGCCCCTGGTCTCTCCAAGATGTCTTCCCCAGGTCGCCAAGATGTCTTCCCCTGGTCTCTCCAAGATGTCTGCCCCTGGTCTCTCCAAGATGTCTTCCCCAGGTCGCCAAGATGTCTTCCCCTGGTCTCTCCAAGATGTCTGCCCCTGGTCTCTCCAAGATGTCTGCCCCTGGTCTCTCGAAGATGTCAGCCCCTGGTCTCTTCAAGATGTCTTCCCCAAGTCTCCAAGATGTCTGCCCCAGGTTTTCAAAATGTCTTCCCCAGGTCTCCAAGATGCCTTCCCCAGGTCTCCAAGATGTCTTTCCTTGGTCTCCAAGATGTCTTCCCCTGGTCTCCAAGATGTCTTCCCCAGGTCTCCAAGATGTCTTTCCTAGGTCTCCAAGATGTCTTCCCCTGGTCTCCAAGATGTCTTCAGAATCAGAATCAGAATCATTTTTATTGCCACGTAAGTAACAGGAGGTCACAGACTAGGAAATTGCTTTGGCTCAGTGCAACAGTCAAAAAGAGATAATAAAAATAAGAATAAAAAACACTTCTAAAGAATAAGTTTAAATTTAAAATAGAGTTACAGTTACTATTTACAATATACAAGTGCACATGGTGCACACAATGTAAGGTGACAGCAGTACAGTGAAGTAAAGTGACGTATGATGGGCAGTAAAGTGACTTTATAAAGGGCGGGGGGACAGGTTAAGAAGTGTTCAAGAGTCCAACAGCAGAGGGGAAGAAACTGTTCTTGTGGCGGGAGGTTCTAGTCCTGATGGACCGCAGCCTCCTGCCTGAGGGGAGTGGTTGGAATAGTCCATGTGCAGGTGAGAGGGGTCGGCTGTGATACGACCAGCCCGGCCTCGAGCTCGGGCGACGTACAGGTCCTGCAGCGATGGAAGGCTGCGGCCGATCACTTCCTCTGCAGAGCGCACAATGCGCTGTAGTCTCTGTTTGTCCTGTGGCTCCAGCGAACCACACGGTGATGGAGGAGGTGAGGATGGACTCGATGATGGCCGTGTAGAACTGCACCAACATCTGTGCAGGCAGCTTGGCTTTCCTGAACTGCCGCAGGAAGTACATCCTCTGCTGGGCCTTCTTGATGAGGGAGCTGATGGTCGGCTCCCACTTGAGGTCCTGGGTGATGGTGGTGCCCAGGAAACGGAAGGACCGCACAGAGGTGATGGGGGAGTCCATCACGGAGGGTGGGGGTGGGGGGACAGTGCTCTTCCTGAAGTCCACAATCATCTCCACTGTCTTCTGGGCGTTCAGCTCCAGGTTGTTACCACTGCACCAGGACACCAGCCGGTCCACCTCCCTCCTGTAGGCGGACTCATCGTTGTTGGAGATGAGTCCAATGAGGGTGGTGTCGTCCGCGAACTTGATCAGCTTCACAGAGTCGTGGCTGGAGGTGCAGTGGTTGGTGTACAGGGAGAAGAGCAGGGGAGAAAGAACACAGCCCTGTGGGGCTCCTGTATTTATAATCCGAGAGTCCGAGACATTCTTCCCCAGACGCACTCGCTGCTTCCTGTCCGTCAGGAAGTCAGTGATCCACCTGCAGGTGGAATCGGGCACGTTGAGCTGGGAGAGCTTGTCCTGGAGCAGGGATGGCAGGATTGTGTTGAAGGCAGAGCTGAAGTCCACGAACAGGACCCTGGCGTAGGTCCCCGGGGAGTCCAGGTGCTGTAGGATGTGGTGGAGGGCCAGGTTAATGGCGTCGTCTACAGATCTGTTGGCTCTGTAGGCGAACTGCAGGGGGTCCAGGAGGGTGGAGGTGAGGGACTTGAGATGGGAGAGAACCAGGCGTTCAAATGACTTCATGACGACAGACGTAAGTGCTACAGGTCTGTAGTCATTGAGTCCTGTGATCCTGGGCTTCTTCGGGACGGGGACAATGATGGAGGATTTGAAGCAGGCCGGGACATGGCAGGACTGCAGAGAGGTGTTGAAAATGTCCGTGAACACAGGAGTAAGCTCACTGGCGCAGTGTCTCAGAGTGGCCGGAGACACGTGGTCCGGGCCAGGAGCTTTGCGGGGGTGCAGCCTCAGGAAGAGTTGTTTAATCTCTTTAGCGGCTATTGTTAGGCTGGGGGCAGGGCTGATGGGTGGGTCGTTAGAGTAGTGGGGGGTGGGGGAGGGAGAGGTGTCAGGGGCAGCATCAAAGCGACTGAAAAATAAGTTCAGATCGTCAGCTAGCTTGTGGTCGTCAGCACAGGGGGGGGCTTTGGGTTTGTAGTTGGTGATCTCCCGTAGGCCCCTCCAGACAGAAGCAGTATCGTTGTTACCAAACTGCTCCTGTAGTCGTTCTCTGTGCCGGGACTTGGCTGCTTTCAGTTCTCTCCTGAACTGATATTTAGCTGCTTTGTAGCCGCTGCGGTCCCCCTCCCTGAAAGCAGACTCCTTTGCTTTCCTGAGCTGCCGGAGTTTAGCAGTGAACCAGGGTTTGTCCTTGTTATAGATGACCCTGGTCCTTGTTGGAATGATGCTATCCTCACAGAAGTGAATGTATGACGTCACAGTGTCCGTATAGTCATCCAAACTATCTGTGGCAGCTCTGAAAAGGTCCCAGTCTGTAGATTCCATGCATGCGCGCAGCTCTTCCACAGCTTCATCAGACCACACTTTGGAGCTCCTCATTGCAGGTTTCGAGAGCTTTAGTCTCTGTCAGTAAGCAGGAACCAGATGTATCATAGAGTGATCTGAGAAGCCGAGGGCTGGCTTGGGAACAGCGCAAAAAGCTCCGCGCACGGTGGTGTAACAGTGATCCAGAGTGTTCTCCTCTCTGGTCGGGCATTTGATAAACTGTCTGTATTTGGGTAATTCCTGGCTCAAGTTTCCCTTATTAAAATCCCCCAGGATAATAATCAGAGAGTCCGGGTATAAGCGTTCCATACACAGTACTTGCTCTGCGAGTGCGCGCTGAGCCTCGCGCGCGTCCGCGCATGGCGGTATGTAAACAGAGGCAAGAATGAATGAAACAATTTCGCGCGGGGAGTAATATGGTTTACAATGAATGAAAAGATATTCCAGAGCAGGAGAGCAGTGCTTGGAGATCACTGTCACATTGTTACACCAGTTTGTATTGACGTAGAAACACAGCCCACCGCCTCTGCTCTTCCCTGAGAGCGCACAATGGCGATCCGCGCGGAACAGCCCAAAGCCCTGCAGCTCCAGAGCGCAGTCCGGGATCCGCTCATTTAGCCAGGTCTCAGTGAAGCAGAGGACACAGGATGTGGCGAAGTCCTTGTTTCTTCTCATGAGCAGGCTGAGTTCGTCCATCTTATTGCCCAGTGAGCGTACGTTGGAGAGAAAAATGCCGGGGAGAGCCGTGCGTGCTCCTCTCCTCCTAAGACGCACGAGCAGGCCTCCACGCTTTCCCCTTTTACGGGCCCACACTTTTTTGGCTAGAACATGAACTAAATCAGCCGCAGATGCCAAGAAAACAGGCAATAGGTCCATGGGAACGGTGGGTCGGATGTTCATAAGTTCCTCACGGGTGTAGGAACAGCCAGATGCGCAGTTAAAAAGTAAAAACAAAAGAAAAAGAGAGCAGCAAAGAGCCATGTCGACCGTACGAGGCGCCATCTTCTGCAAACTTCCCCTGGTCTCTCAAAGATGTCTGCTCCTTCAAATCAAAGGTCTCTGCTCATTGGTCCTTACTTCACGGAGGCTGCAATAGTGATGAATAATAGTGACACATTTTGGACTCTGGTCCCATTTGTGCAGTAGCTTTATGCATCACCTGAGGAACTTCCAGGTCAAGGCAAACACGTGAGCATTCTGACCAATCAGAGCCACACGTGAGCGTTCTGACCAATCAGAGACACACGTAAGCGTTCTGACCAATCAGAGACACACGTGAGCGTTCTGACCAATCAGAGACACACGTGAGCGTTCTGACCAATCAGAGGCACACGTGAGCGTTCTGACCAATCAGAGGCACACGTAAGCGTTCTGACCAATCAGAGACACACGTGAGCATTCTGACCAATCAGAGCCACACGTGAGCGTTCTGACCAATCAAAGACACACGTAAGCGTTCTGACCAATCAGAGACACACGTGAGCGTTCTGACCAATCAGAGGCACACGTGAGCGTTCTGACCAATCAGAAGCACACGTAAGCGTTCTGACCAATCAGAGACACACGTGAGCGTTCTGACCAATCAGAGGCACACGTGAGCGTTCTGACCAATCAGAGGCACACGTGAGCGTTCTGACCAATCAGAGACACACGTAAGCGTTCTGACCAATCAGAGATCACCTGACTCGGCTCAGTCCAGGACCAGCTTTTTTAAGACGGGGCTTCATCAGAAAGTGGCTAAATTTCAACGTTAGATTTAAATAAATGGATGAATCACATTTGAAAGATAGATAAATTAAAATGAATTAAATATGGCACAGAAATAAACGTATATGAGGCAGAGAAAGTCACAAATTTATGAAGACCCAAATCTGTACATGAGTATTACACTTCTAAAACAACAACAGCCGTGACATTGACTGCTCTGAGAGCCCTCAGCAGCACGTGTGTGACGGGTGCTCTCTCATCATTTGCATACATTTGCAGATGTTTGCATGTATTTCCCTGAAGCTGCTCAGGGTTTCTCCCCGAGAAGCTGCAGTGGAATGTCTGCCAGTCCTGACAGGCTCCGGGAGCGTCAGCGGTTAGAGGCACCCAGAGAGCATCAGGAGTGTGACATCACCACCGTGTGACATCACCACCTGTGACATCACCACCGTGTGACATCACCACCGTGTGACATCACCACCGTGTGACATCACCACCGTGTGACAGACCCACCGTGTGACATCACCACCGTGAGGGCAGGAGAGGGCAGGAGAGAGGGCAGGAGTGAGGGCAGGAGAGAGGGCAGGAGAGGGCAGGAGTGAGGGCAGGAGAGAGGGCAGGAGTGAGGGCAGGAGAGAGGGCAGGAGAGGGCAGGAGTGAGGGCAGGAGAGAGGGCAGGAGTGAGGGCAGGAGAGAGGGCAGGAGAGGGCAGGAGTGAGGGCAGGAGAGAGGGCAGGAGTGAGGGCAGGAGAGAGGGCAGGAGAGGGCAGGAGAGGGCAGGAGAGAGGGCAGGAGAGAGGGCAGGAGAGAGGGCAGGAGAGGGCAGGAGAGAGGGCAGGAGAGGGCAGGAGTGAGGGCAGGAGAGGGCAGAAGTGAGGGCAGGAGAGAGGGCAGGAGAGGGCAGGAGAGAGGGCAGGAGAGAGGGCAGGAGAGGGCAGGAGAGGGCAGGAGGAGGGCAGGAGAGAGGGCAGGAGTGAGGGCAGGAGTGAGGGCAGGAGTGAGGGCAGGAGAGAGGGCAGGAGTGAGAGGGCAGGAGTGAGGGCAGGAGAGAGGGCAGGAGGAGGGCAGGAGAGGGGCAGGAGTGAGGGGAGTGAGGGCAGGAGTGAGGGCAGGAGAGAGGGCAGGAGTGAGGGTGGTAGGGAGAGGGCAGGAGAGAGGGCAGGAGTGAGGGCAGGAGTGAGGGCAGGAGAGAGGGCAGGAGAGGGCAGGTGAGAGGGCAGGAGTGAGGGCAGGAGAGGGCAGGAGAGAGGGCAGGAGAGGGCAGTAGAGAGGGCAGGAGAGAGGGCAGGAGTGAGGGCGGGAGTGAGGGCAGGAGAGAGGGCAGGAGAGGGCAGGAGAGAGGGCAGGAGAGAGGGCAGGAGAGGGCAGGAGAGAGGGCAGGAGAGAGGGCAGGAGAGAGGGCAGGAGAGGGCAGGAGAGAGGGCAGGAGAGGGCAGTAGAGAGGGCAGGAGAGAGGGCAGGAGAGAGGGCAGGAGTGAGGGCAGGAGAGAGGGAAGGAGAGAGGGCAGGAGAGAGGGCAGGAGGGAGGGCAGGAGGGAGGGCAGGAGAGAGGGCAGGAGAGAGAGGGCAGGAGGGAGGGCAGGAGAGGGCAGGAGAGAGGGAAGGAGAGAGGGCAGGAGAGGAGAGAGGGCAGGAGAGGGCAGGAGTGAGGGCAGGAGAGGCCAGGAGAGAGGGCAGGAGATGGCAGGAGTGAGGGCAGGAGAGGGCAGGAGTGAGGGCAGGAGAGAGGGCAGGAGAGGGCAGGAGAGAGGGCAGGAGAGAGGGCAGGAGAGGGCAGGAGTGAGGGCAGGAGAGAGGGCAGGAGTGAGGGCAGGAGAGGGCAGGAGAGGGCAGGAGTGAGGGCAGGAGTGAGGGCAGGAGTGAGGGCAGGAGAGAGGGCAGGAGTGAGGGCAGGAGAGGGCAGGAGTGAGGGCAGGAGAGAGGGCAGGCGTGAGGGTAGGAGAGGGCAGGAGAGAGGGCAGGAGTGAGGGCAGGAGAGAGGGCAGGAGAGGGCAGGAGAGAGGGCAGGAGTGAGGGCAGGAGAGAGGGCAGTAGAGAGGGCAGGAGAGGGCAGGAGAGAGGGCAGGAGAGGGCAGTAGAGAGGGCAGGAGAGAGGGCAAGAGTGAGGGCAGGAGAGAGGGAAGGAGAGAGGGCAGGAGAGAGGGCAGGAGGAGGGCAGGAGGGAGGGCAGGAGAGAGGGCAGGAGAGAGGGCAGGAGGGAGGGCAGGAGAGGGCAGGAGAGAGGGCAGGAGAGAGGGAAGGAGAGAGGGCAGGAGAGGGCAGGAGAGAGGGAAGGAGAGAGGGCAGGAGAGAGGGCAGGAGAGAGGGCAGGAGAGAGGGCAGGAGAGGGCAGGAGAGAGGGCAGAATCTTTTTAAAGTCCAAACGTGAGACACAAATGTAAGTAATGTTTATTTATGTAGCACAAATGATTACTGAACTTTTGTAAGTCTGGCCCAGGGCGACTTGGAGCCAAACTTCACCATGAGCACTTTCCTATTTGGCAACGTTGAGCTAGCGGGTGAGCATGGTGTAGGAAGAGGAGGGGGAGGAGGAGGTGTAGGAGGAGGAGATGGAGGGGGAGGAGGAGGAGGTCTAGGAGGAGGAGATGGAGGGGGAGGAGGAGGAGACAGCTGCTCTCATAATAGTGACCTGTAATGGTTCCCAGACGACAGTGATTACCTGTGATCTCACACAAAGGACAATGTGGTACCAGCACTCTCCCACAGTATACATACCTCTGTCTCAGTCTATATATACCTCTGTCTCAGTATATATACCTATGTCTCAGTATATATACATCTGTGTCAGTATACAGTACCTCTGTCTCAGTATAATAACTCTGTCTCAGTGTATATACTATATACCTCTGTCTCAGTATACATACCTCTGTCTCAGTATGTATACTTCTGTCTCAGTGTATATACCTCTGTCTCAGTATATATATACCTCTTTCTCAGTCTGGATACCTCTGTCTAAGTATATATACCTCTGTCTCTGTATATATAACTCTGTCTCAGTCTATGTACCTCTGTCTCAGTATATATATATATACACCTCTGTCTCAGTATACTTACCTCTGTCTCAGTATATAGGCAAGGCAAGGCAAGTTTATTTATATAGCACAATTCATACACAAGGCAATTCAAAGTGCTGAACAAAACAAGAAAGCATTAAAATCATAAATTATCACAGAACATTAAAAAGAAAGATAAAAATATAAAATCCCTCAGTTGTATGCACAGTTAAACAGAACCGTCTTTAACCTGGTTTTAAACATTGTCAGAGAGGAGGCCTGTCTCACATCTTCAGGAAGACTGTTCCAGATTTTAGCAGCATTAATCTGAAAAGCAGCCTCCCCATGTTTAGTTCTGACTCTGGGCACTAACAGGAGTCCAGTCCCTGTGCTCCTCAGAGTCCGGGCTGGTTCATATGGGACTAACATGTCACTAATATATTTTGGTGCGAGGCTATGGAGAGACTTGTACACAAGCAGAGCTGTTTTAAAGTCTATTCTCTGAGCCACAGGAAGCCAGTGCAGAGACCTGAGGACTGGACTAATGTGGTCGTACTTCCTGGTTCTTGTCAGGACTCGAGCTGCTGCATTTTGAATGTACTGCAGCTGTTTTACAGCCTGTTTGGACAGACCTGTGAGCAGGCCATTGCAGTAGTCTAACCTACTGGAGACAAATGCATGGATAAGAATCTCCAAGTCTGCTTTAGACACTATGTTTTTGATCCTGGCAATGTTTTTTAGATGGTAAAAAGCTGCTGATGTTACTGATTTGATGTGGCTTTTAAAATTTAAGTCTGAGTCCAGTATTACCCCTAGATTTCTGACCTTGTTTGAAGGTTTTAGGGAGAGAGACTGTAGGTGACAGATGACGCTCTCTCTTTGTTTCTGGGGACCAAAGACAATCATTTCAGTTTTGTCTGCGTTTAGCTGAAGGAAGTTGTTTTGCATCCACTCACTGATCTGTTGGATACAGTGAAGGAGTGAGTCCACTGGTCCATGTTCTCCTGCAGTCAGTGAGACATAGATCTGAGTGTCGTCTGCATAGTTATGATAGGAAACTTTGTTTCTGCGTATTAACTGACCTAACGGCAGCATGTAGAGATTGAACAGAAGAGGTCCCAGGATCGACCCCTGTGGGACTCCACAGGTCAGGGCCATATGATCTGAGACACAGTTTCCAATCTCCACAAAGTACTTCCTGTCTTCAAGGTAAGACCTAAACCAACTTAGGGCGGTGCCAGTGACGCCAACCCAGTCCTCTAGTCTCTGTAAGAGGATCTCATGGTCGACGGTGTCAAAGGCAGCACTTAGATCTAACAAGATTAAGATTGAGACTTTGCCTGCGTCAGTGTTCAGCCGGATATCGTTTGTAACCTTAACGAGAGCAGTCTCAGTGCTGTGGTGGGGTCTAAAGCCGGACTGAAACATATCAAATGAGTTGTTGATTATAAGAAATCTAGTAAGCTGTAGGTAGACAACTTTCTCAAGGACTTTCCCCATAAATGGCAGATTTGAGATGGGACGATAGTTGTTAAGTACAGTGGCATCCAGACTGCTCTTTTTTAGCAGGGGCCTGATGACTGCAGTTTTCAGGGCCTTTGGGAATATTCCAGAATGAAGGGACATGTTTACTATCTGTGTGAGTGAAGGTAACAGACTGCTCAGAACAGACTTCAGAAATCTAGTGGGTAGTACATCCAGGCTGCATGTGGAGGAGCTCAAACTGGAGATTATCTCTTGGACAGTTTTATCATTTACAGGTGCAAAGTGAGTTAGCTCAGAGAGCCTTTCTGGTTGTTGGATGGTTATCTGTGGATTGGAGACAATGGCGCTTTTGATGCCTTGAACCTTGTCATTGAAAAAATTAGCAAACTCATTGCATTTACGTTTGGAAGTAAGCTCTAATGGCATTTGAACAGGGGGGTTTGTTAATCTATTAACTGTTGAAAACAGAACACGCAGATTGTTGCTGCAGCCTTCAATCATTTCAGAAAAATACCTTTCTCTCGTACTACGTAGCACCCGGTTAAACTCGCACAACTTATCTTTGAAGATCTCGTAATCTACCTGGAGGTTGGACTTGCGCCACTTCCGCTCGGCCCTCCGGCACTTTCTCTTTTGTGCCCTGACCGAGTCTGCTTTAGCCCACGGCGCCTTCTGCTTATTTTTCACTATTTTAACCTTCACAGGGGCAACGGTATCCAGAACATTCAAAACACTAGAGGTGACAGAGTTAAACAGTTTATCTACAGTAGAATACGATGCATTCTCAAAGTTTATCATTTCCATAAATAGTTCACTCGTATTTTCATTTATGCGCCTTCTTCGAACAGTTGCAGAGTCCACTGGTGGTTTGTTAGTGAAACACATGTCAAAAAAAACACAGAAATGATCCGAAAGAGCAACATCGACCACGTTTACATTTGAAATAATCACCCCCTTTGTAACTAACAGATCTAGAGTGTGCCCTCTGCTGTGGGTGGGGCCACTTACGTGCTGAGTGAGATCAAAGGATTCAAGTACAGAACTCAGCTCATTTGCATTTCTGTCATCAACATTATCCACATGAATATTAAAATCACCTGTAATAACCAAACTATCAAAATCTGTGCATACAACTGAAAGCAACTCGGTAAAATGATCAATAAAACTGTGACATGACTGCGGTGGCTTGTATAGGACAACGAAGAGTATTGGAGGAGATTGTTTTTGTTGTATTTTAAAAGACACATATTCAAATGACGAAAACTTCCCAAGAGACATTCTATGGGAGACAAAGTGGTCTCTGAAAATGGCAGCTAAGCCTCCTCCTTTTTTGTTTTCCCGTATTTCAGATTCAAACTTGAAATTTGGTGGTGATGCTTCTATTAAAACTGCATTTTCTGAATTTTGGTCAAGCCAAGTTTCAGCCATGAACATAAGATCAAGATTATGAGAAGAAATAAAATTATTGATTAAAAAAGACTTGTTACAAAGAGATCTGACATTAAGCGTAGCAAGTTTCAAAGTTTCAGTATCAGCGGTTGCGGTCGGCTGATTCTTACACGGAACAAGAATTAGATTTTCCAGATTAGACTGATTAACTCCAGATGTTTTTCTGTAATGTATTCTTTGTGTTATCACTAAGGGAATGGCACAGGTGGCTTCATGACAGGGCCCCAGCCGGGTCTCTCCTCTAACTAGACTGCCAGTGGCTGCGAAGCAGAGACCCTGTGCATCCTAGTGTTTAGAGAAAAGAGGGGTAGGGGAAGGCGGGGGAGGAGGATGGAGAGGTGGGTGGCTTTTGGGTGTTGAACGAGGGGGGCAGGGAGGTGGAGGGGTTTTAGGTGATGGGTTAGGGCCGGGGTGGGCTGAGGCAGAGGTTTTGGATGTTGAACGAGGGGGAAGTGGGGGTGGAATGGTCATGAGGTTAGGGGAGGGACTGGCTGAGGTGGTTTTTGTAGGTGAATTGGAAACCCTAGGTGGTTTTGGAGGTACATATGGGGAGTGGTTTAGAATGTTGGACAGGACTCTAGATCGAGCTAATATGGGTGTGAGAGGAATAGTCTTCATCGCCGATTTTATTAGCCCTGCAGAGTGTTCAGGTAGGTCTAACAGTGAAGGCGGGGATGAAAAACAAAGGGAGGTGTCCCCATTCTCTCTTGATGGAGTGGACGTGGCAGGGGGGACCCAAGACAGGTCCTTGGGAGGTGGCGAGGGAGTCTTTAATGGAGGGGCAGGTGGTTGAGGAAACCCCAGCACAGGCCTGTCTGCTGTAGGCTGGGGTGAGGATTGGGGCTTCAGAGGCGCTGTAGATGAAGAAGGCGTGGCTGCTTTGGAGCAGGCTGGGGATGAGGATGGTGGTCGTGCTGCTACTGGTGATGATGCAGCTGCTGCTGGTGATGATGCAGCTGCTGCTGGTAATGATGCAGCTGCTGCTGGTGATGATGCAGCTGCTGCTGGTGATGATGCAGCTGCTGCTGGTGATGATGCAGCTGCTTCTGATGACAGTGGAGGTGTTGAGATCCTTCGAGGTGGTTGTGGTGTTGAGATCCTTTGAGGTGGTGGTGGTGTTGAGATCCTTCGAGGTGGTGGTGGTGTTGAGATCCTTCGAGGTGGTGGAGGTGCAGAGACTTTTGGAGTCGGCTTCCTCCCTTTCGATGGCTGCACGCGCTGCGCAGGCTGAGATCTCAGGGCAAAAGAAAGGTTATCCATCAGCACTTTTACTCCGTAAGTGTTCAGATGTGGCCCTTTCCCTTCAAAAAGCTCATGCCTATTCCAGAACAGATTAAAATTCTCAATGAAGGCAAGTCCTCTGCGTGAACATTCGTTGAGTAGGAAAGTATTTAGCTGATACAGACGACTGAATTTCATTTGCTTCCCGTCCACATTTGGTAGTGGGCCACTGATAACGATTTTTGTGTCCATTTTAGCAAGGTCGTCCAATAATAGAGAGTAATCCCGTTTCAACTTTTCACTTGTGTTGTCATAGACGTCTACTGCCCCCACGTGGATCAACAATCTTTTTACCCCGCCGGTCTCAGACAGAAGCCTCGGAGCCAACCGCCTTATCTCATCCACTTTGGCAGAGTGTACTGAGTGAACCTTGAGATTACGCATATTTACATATATACCTCTGTCTCAATGTATATACCTCTGTCTCAGTGTATATACCTCTGTCTCAGTGTATATACCTCTGTCTAAGTATGTATATACCTCTGTCTCAGTCGATATACCTCTGTCTCAGTATATATATACACCTCTGTCTCATTATACATACGTCTGTCTCAGTATGTATATACCACTGTCTCAGTATACATCCCTCTGTCTCAGTATTTATACACATCTGCCTCAGTATATTTACCTCTGTCTCAGTATATACAGTATACCTGTCTCAGTATATATATACACCTCTGTCTCAGTATACATACCTCTGTCTCAGTATATATACATCTGTCTCAGTTTATATACTACACCTCTGTCTCAGTATATATATATACCTCTGTCTCAGTATATATACCTATTTCTCAGTATATATATACACCTCTGTCTCAGTATACTGTATATATACACCTCTGTTTCAATATATGTTTACCTCTGTCTAAGTATATATACCTCTGCTAAGTATATATACCTCTGCTAAGTATATATACCTCTGTCTCAGTATGTATACCTCTGTCTCAGTGTATATACCTCTGTCTCAGTATATATACCTCTGTCTCAGTATATATACCTCTGCTAAGTATATATACCTCTGTCTCAGTATATATAACTCTGTCTCAGTCTATGTACCACTGTCTAAGTATATATACCTCTGTCTCAGTCTATAAACCTCTGTCTCAGTATATATATACACCTCTGTCTCATTATACATACGTCTGTCTCAGTATGTATATACCTCTGTCTCAGTATATATACACATCTGCCTCAGTATATTTACCTCTGTCTCAGTATATACAGTATACCTGTCTCAGTATATATATATACACCTCTGTCTCAGTATACATACCTCTGTCTCAGTATATATACATCTGTCTCAGTTTATATACTACACCTCTGTGTCAGTATATATATATACCTCTGTCTCAGTATATATACCTATTTCTCAGTATATATATACACCTCTGTCTCAGTATACTGTATATATACACCTCTGTTTCAATATATG